AAAACGTCTGAGAACTGTGAAACTTTGAATAAAACGTACACCGCTTGTAATTAGAAGGTGTTATGTTTGTATACCACGATTCTCCGTCTGTTTCGAAATAAGACTAAAGGGAAAATAATTAAACCTGCTTTAAAATCTGTGAGCTGGAATTAATTTCTTTTGTTTTCTGTGGCGTACTAAAAAGATAATTTATTGACAGAAGCTCTATAATTATTTTTATCTCACATTATGGTGTTGTTGAAACACATGCGGTTTTTTTCACTTTTTAAAGAATTCTGTTTTTCAACAAGCAATTAAAGCTTGTCACACTTAAAAGGTTAATTTCATTTGTGCTTGACTGCTGCAATTGAAAGTAATTTTTATAAGAGATGCAAATTTGTCTATGTATTTGAATCCTACGCTTTATCCTTACGTAAAATGTATACAATTTAACTTCCTGCAGCAAAAATAAAATATTTAAGCTAAATAAGTGAATACATTTATTTAAATTATACTAGAAAACTGTCTATAATTAGAAGCGTTGGCCCGTGTCCTCTACAGCTGAGAAAAGAAGAGCTGAAATTATAAACACTTGCTGGGTAGGCTTGCACTGTTAATCAGTAGTAATTAACTGTGATATAATTATCTTCATGGTTTGTCTAAATTACATACGTGAAGAAAATCGCATACAAATGTATTTTCACTTGCTCGACTTTTGTCAATATCTGACAGTAATCCGTATTTATTTCATTACAATGTTTACAAATAAATTCTTTTTTAAAGAACAGAAAACTTCTGGTTTATTAATTTCCCGAAACAGGAGATGTAACTGAGCAAAAGCATTAAATTTTTATTTAGCAATACATGTTTTTCTATGAAACCCTCTGAAAGTTTGTAAAACAGTTCTAAAAAGAACAATTTATGGAAAACAGGAGTTTTTGTTCTGATAAGATGTTTCAGGCAGGCAGAAAAAGCATCGAAGACAAATCATGCTCTGAACGTTCCATACGTTTTATTTGAAAAGGAGTACATGAATTAATTCAGGGATATTTATTGAGTTTTTCCTGAAACAAATATATGTTCAAATCGCTCTGAAATGCTTTCTGAAGGCTAGTGCTTTTTAAAATACATTATTATCCGTAATGCATCCACACCTTTGTTACAGACAACTCACAATCAATCGAATTTTACTTGAAAGATGGAGGAAAAATTGGTCAAACATCAAGTTCGTACTGAATTTTCTTCAGTCATCGTGACATCATAAAATTGTTTTACATCATAAAATTGGCATTTTTTTACAAAAATATTATTTGAGTTATTTGGTTCACTTTTTGAAGCAATTCTTAGACAACGACCTGAATTATAGCAAATAATACGTGAATCTGGCGCTACGTTAATACCTCTAATAATTTTTTTTTTCGTGTGAACTTGAGTCAAAATTTCAAAACTGTAGTTCAGAAGCTCCATGTTTACGTGCTGTTGTACGATATGACATCACGTTTTTCTGCCGTTAAAATTGCCTCTTCATTTATTAATTTCTGGTAGTAAGAGAAAATATTTTACGAGCCCTGAAGAAAATTCATTTTGGGAAATTAATTATTATCCCATAAGAGCGTTAGCCTAGAATAGCTATTATTCTCGAAACGGCATTTTGCATCGAATCGCTTTTAAAATTGTTGCCACCAAATATTTTCGTCTTGCATTATATTTAAAGAATAATGAAGTATCTACATGGATGTATGTATGTTTCTTGCATTCTGAAAAAATAACGGTACCTTGAGCCATTAAATTTTGAACAACATAGTCCTCCACCCGAATATGGGCACTTGGAAGCTAAGATTTGTTTTATTATCTACTTCATATTTTGTAAAACTTTAAGGAAATTTTGATTAAAATAATCAAACGATTTCAAAGTGAGCAACGGCAATATTGTAAGGTATAAAACACTTTTCTCCCCAGCATGCGAGATTGTCCAGTTGAAATTCTAAAAATATGGTGTTTTTAAATACTTTTAGCAAAAAGTGGCGTTACACCAAATGCTTTCGAAAGGTGTATGAGTGTGTAAATAAAAATAATGCCTCTTTGGGCGTAATATAAAATCTGAAAGCTTTCAAGTTTTTTTTTTTTTTTTTTTTTTTTATATATTAGTCCAAAGGGATTTGAATCCCGAAGGACTATTAGTTTCGTTTTGGCATTTTGCGTCGGACTCATAAATGTCGGTTCACTTTTCAAACTGTTGCCACAAAATGTTAGAGTCCTGCATTATATTTGAAGAAATTAAATAAAGAAAAATCTGCATAAATGTATGTATATTTCTCGTATTGTGATAAAACAACGGTACATAGAGTCATCGAATTTTGAATAACGTAATCCTCCAACGAATATGAGCATGTGGAAGACCAAATTTGAAATTTGAAATTTGTTTTATGATCGATTTCCTATTTTTTAAAACTTTGACGAATTTTTGATTAACAAACTCAAGGATTTCAAAGCGAGCAATGGCAACGTTGTGCAGAAAAAACATTTTTATCTCCAGCGCGAGTCTCTGTATCGGAAATTCTAAAGATATGCTCGTTTTAAAACTATTTTGCGATATTGCTGTTGCATTGGATCTTATGGTTTAAGTGCGAGGAACATGATATTTAATAAAGAAAGGTAACACACAAAATGTTAAAAAACGCCCCTTTGGACGTAATTTAAAATCTGAAACATTTCAGATTTTTTTTTATTTTTTTTTTATTTTTTTTTTTTTTTTTTTTTATTTGAAAAGGAATTTAAAGGTTTCGTAGACTGAGAAAAAATGGTTGACACAAGTGCATTGCAATAAGAAGGGATTACTTAAAGTGGATGTAATAACAATTGGTTTATAAAGTTTAAATATTGCGTTTTATTTATCTTGCTTGATGATTTTTGATCACAACTGGAGGAAATTAACTTTCATTATGCTCAATAATACACTGGTTTGATATTTCTTAAAATGCGAAATTCCTTATAATTTATGCATACAAAAGGATTATTTGTTCAGAATAAGACAACTTATTTATAAAAATGAAGCTAATCTGTGGGATTTGTTTACAGTCCCTTCGTTATTGTTAAAAAGGCATAAGAATTTAAACATATAAATATTTATTTAACTTTTAAAATATTTATAGAATTCCAACATGAAATATCGTTTAATAACTGAAGCATTTCATATCATTTTTAATATTTTTAATTTCTTTATTAAGTGAATTATACTGGTTGAAGATAATAGTGATTGAATATTAAAAATTGTATAATCTGATACTTTACTCCGTGTGAAAGGTATCAAACATGGCCAGATTTGAAAAATGTGAAAAATTTTACAAACGAAGTATTTCTTAGAGATTAATTATTTGAAGCTACGTTTTAGCTTTTAGTTTTTAATTTAAACAGTTTTCTTTTTTCCAGATCACACAGACAAATTTTAAAATATAAAGTGGCAACCTCATTTTCCTTTTTATAAAAAGGTTGTGTATCACTATATGCGGTATGTACTTTTCCAGTTTATGGAATTTAACGAACTTTTACAGGTCCTTAGGGGATTGATAAACATGTAGTGGTAAAGGCCCTCGGGTCGAACACCACTTAACGAATGATGATCTCCGATCTCCGATATGCGGTATGTATTCGCATATTTCTACCCCTCGTGTAACACTCCCCAGTGTTGTCAGCAAATGATTTAGAAACTTCTGATTTAGGGTAATAACGTACAGTGTATGCTCAAATAAAAAAAGTATTTTGTGCAAGTTAAAACAATTATTTTGTAAAATGAACATTGTTGCCTGCGTAGGGTTTCGTAATAGGTAGAACGCACACAGGTCCTATAATAGGTTAATAAAAATTATTTTATCAAAAGAAACCAATTAAGGTTCTGCAGCTTTCCACAATAATACTGGTGCAGTTCTTCACAGTATCATAAAGTATAATTATTAATTACACTTCAAACTACTAACAACAGAACGCTAAACACAACAGAAGATATTTCTTGTACTTTCTGCTTCTCTAAATTACTGGAAGGCATATGATAGCTGGATACATTTACATATGAAATAAATCATTTACAGTGATACAGGGAATGGACCAAAATATCGCCAAATGGTAGTAAAATTTGGCGACTTTTGACCATTTCTCGCCAGGTTTGGCGAAAAAAATTAGTCGTTAAAACCGTTGCCAGCTTGGCGTTATCTCGCTATATCAGCGAGATAGCTATATATTCAATTTTAAAAGACTTGCCCCTAAAAGAAAAAATATAAAAATTTCACTAAAATTATCCGTATATGTACAAAATTCGTAACAATATTATTGAATTTGATAAGTCTTTTGAAATATACAATATAATAACATTGGCATGTCTTAATGTATGCTTTTCAATGTGCTTGTGTTTATCACGTAAGGTATCCTTTCAAAAATAGCGTATTTCTTCCCTTCTGGCCTTCAGGCGGTAAAATTAGTAGGAGAAGGGGGAATATGCACGAATAAATATGGCATTTATAAAAAAATTTTAAAATATTTGCGACTTGTTCTTGGCTTTAAACATATAAGTAATTTCCGGATCCTAATGGACGCATGGAATTACTTTTACCATCAAAGAAATTTATTAGAGTTTTGAATAAATCACAGACTTCTGCTGAATTAACAGAAATTGAAAATACACAAATAGCTCTTAAATACAACATAAATAAACTTATGCTTGTTGGAAAATTTCTTAATTAACCATTGTATACAAAAGTTTACAAAGTTTTCGCTGAACAAAGAGAAGCAAAGAATTTTATATACATTTTTTTAGGAAATTTTCGATGAATATCCGTATATGTACTATATATCCGTATATGTATTTTAGATGAATATCCGTATATGAATTTGTATAAGGGTCGCTGTGGAAACAAATAAATCTGCAATTCAATTGTGATAAACTGAAATTTCTTTTTGAGGATAATGTTAAAAAAATTGCTTTGTTCTTGACTATTTTAAATACGTTAACATTTTATTCTTCTCCTTAGCGTTGCCTCTGACCATCGTGTGCTTGAAGATCAGTAGCTTCGAAGTCCCCTCCCTACTCGTTCCCGGGGATTCGGCCTATCTGACCTGCCTGTACGATATGGGAGGGGAGAAGTTGTACTCTGTCAAGTGGTACAAGGATGAGCAAGAATTTTACAGGTTCTTTCCTTCGCTGAATCCTCAGTATATGGCTTTCCACGCACCAGGAATATACGTCGATGTAAGTACCATTCTGAAATATATATATATTTGGATACAAATTTATATGCGAATCATACATTCTTTTTTATTTTAAATTTTAATCCATCATCGAAATTATAGAAAGCATTTTATTAGTAAATATAAAAACTTATTTATTTTTTAAACTTTAATTCTGCTAAGAATCAATCGGGGATCAATAATTGATGGATTTTCCAAATGAGGTATCAGATACAAAATGAACGACATGTTTATATTCAAATCAAATATTTAATTACTTAATTAATATGCTTATTGCTGTTGTAGTGCTAGAATCAATCCTCCAAGGTATGTTTGTTAATACCTTTTATTGAAACTACGTTCACAACTACGTAAGAACCAAATTTTTTTGACATACGACATCTTTTTTATTTTAAATAACTGCTACAACTAATTTAGAAGACATCTGCTTTATTCAAAAGTGATTGATATACATATTATTATTTACTTCTAGGGATCTTAGGAAGATGGATAATCTAAAAATTATATTTTATCTGAAATTTGGTATTAAATTCTGATGTAGTGCTCGTTTGGAATGAAAAATTGATTTCTTAGATGAACGTTGAAGCCATTGTCATTAATCTTCCCCATCAAAAACCTAAAAGAAATCGTACAAGACCGTTGCGCATTGTCTTTGCCTTATCTAAATGGAAGTAAGAGTAAAAAATAATGTGTGAAGTCATTCATATTTTCCGTCATCTTTTCTGTCAGTGCTATGAGTCTGATTCTTTTGACTAATAACCTGATTTCATTGACTATTGAAAGAATGAAAAAATATTTTTGCAGACTTCATTCGGGATTTATAACACTTCTCTTAGCTTTCAGTGTAGGCATTATAATATATAAAAAACAAATATCTCAGGAAGCCAATGATATTCACAAAATAATGTGATTCAACAAACAATCTGTATCAAGCTGTAAGCTTACTATTTGAAATAACTAACAGCATTCCAGCGATAAATTATGCTCAATATCAATTTTTGTAGTTACCAAAATCTTTAATTGCCATTAGTAGTCTTTTCTGGATTAAATCACCTGCCATAGATTTTAAAAACAATTTAACATTCCTGAAGCTCCATTTATGACAAAGTTTACGGAAACTGTATGTAAAACTATTATCCTGAATTAAAAAAGGTGCATTTTATGATCATATCCAGAATTTTACACTTAATGTAGTGTTCGAGTAGTCTTGAAATAAAGAATGTTTACGAGTCTTGAAATCTGAAATGCAACTATAAAAAATTTTATTGGGTCAAAATCTTGCACATTACATTAAGTATATAATTAAATATTAGATTAAGTATGTAATTAAATATTAAGTAAACCAAAAGAAAATCTATTTATTTCCATAATATTCAAATAAAATAAATAATTTATCTTTAAATTTTAAATTAATATGGTAAACGTTTAGAATGAAATTAGAGTAACAGAATTAAGCAGTTAATGGATTCTGTTTCAACTCATTCATCTGTTCATTAATTTCATTCTCATTCATCTGTTAAATTCTAAATGACATAATACTCAGTTGTATTATAATTAGAATGATTTAAGATTGTTAAGCGATTGAAAAGTAAGAAGAGAATATCTTTTTCGCTCAAAGGTTTGTGCTTAAAGTAAGTAATTCATGCTATCTTATTGCGAAAATCTATTACATGGTTTAATATCTGGTTTTATTAAATGTAATATCTGGTCTTGTTAAATAACTGAGAGAGAATCAATTGAGAAAACATTGCCAATAAGATCTTGCATACAGAAATCAATTTAAGGTATCAAATAATATCCAAAAATATTATTAAATAACGATGCTAAAAGAATTTAAATAATAATCTTACAAATTTTCTTCCATAGGAATTAATAACAGACGTAAGATAGGGAAACAAACGATTTGCATGAAAAAGTGTAATCAGAGATTCGTAGAACAGATATATCCCTGAACATTTACTTCAAGTATTAACCTATGGGATATGTTGGGGGAAGGAAATGGATTAAATATGCTAATCCCTGAAAATTTATCCCTAAGAATTTTCTTGTATGACTTCAGTTGCGACGGAGTAACTACTTTGTTGATAACAGTATTTGCAGTTTTAAAGAACTGGAACTGAGAAAGCTGGGGATACCGTATAAATAGGGCAAGAAAAACTTCTCGCATGCGCATAAATATCAAAATAAATTGCTGGGTAAGTTAGAAACATAGTTAGTTAAGAAGGTAAGTTAAAAACATGGTTCCTGTTGGAAATAAATGTAGTATCAAATGAAATGGTGAAAGAAATATTAAACTCCATATTTTTTATTTCAAAAATTTTATTTCTCACTCGTTTATTTAGTTAATTTTTTTTTATTTCGTGCTCAAGCTTGAATCAATTCTCAAGATAATTTATCTGCAGCTGTATGCTGCAGTTGCAGAGTTAGAATTCGTGCATTTATGACCATGATATTAAGAGGATAGCAGAATTTTATATAACTCATTATTATTGTCATAGACTGTGAAAAAATAGAGGAAAGACTATTGAAAATGATAAATATCCAGAAAAGAAAACGTACTACTTTCCGGAAGAAGTCGCAATAGCACCAATGCAACAACACTGCCAGTAACTGTGAAACCGTTATCTGATGGAACGGGCGAAAAAAAAACAATTGAATGAATCTGGTTGGTACTAGACTTGTATTATTTTGTGGCTTGAAGAATTGAAATTTGAGTGTTATTATCCTACCTCTGTTATCATAATGCGCTAAATACACAGTGCTATCAAACATGTAGAAAAATAAAATTTAATTTCTGACTCATGCGGAGTTATCATTTTTACAAAGTTATATTAATTTCCTTAAATAGTGATTGTTTTACACCTCTTAAAATGAGTTTTGCAACTCGGCCGGTTTTCAGTTTAATTTTTGGTGTCAGTTAATGATGTTTAACCTACAATAGGAAATGGACTTATTTAATTTACGAATTCTTTTACATCTAGACAGAAAGGTCATACTAAGCGGATGCACTGATAAGACTAGCTATAATTTAAAACGAAATCGAAGGTTTCGGGAATAGCAAGACAATGAACAATAATGTAATTTTGGTGAAATGAAAACTAGAGTAATATCTTTCAAACAATAAACCGCATATTTCTTATGGCAAAACTTTAATCAAAATAAAAATATCTTAAATTTGTATGGGGACTAAGCAAGTGATATGTGTTTTATAGGTGATTACATGAGTGTGGCTTTGATTTTAATCATATCAAAAGTACAGTATTTACACATAGGGAGAGATGTATAAACCAAGAAAATATCGATGTAACTAATCTAATAAACAGTGGTATGACTGCATTTGTTATTAGAATAGTAAAAAATTTTTGTAATTATTTCTCAAATGCTATATTTAAATTTATATTTTTTTCCTCATTAACTTATGTGTTTATATTTGAGAAATACCGCAACACTTTTCATGCAACCGAATCATACACTTTTCATTTAACTGAAGACTATACTTATTACAAAAATCAAAGTCAAGACTTAAAAAAGTATAATAAAATGTTATAATATTACTAAACTTCTTTATTTTTCAATATTTGCTATTGAAAATTGTTGTCTTCGAATTATTTATTTTATTCTTGCACAGGAAAAAAAAAGACTCTTAAAAATACAATAAAATAAATAAATAAAAAGAAATAGAGGAATAATGAGGTTTCATGGAACGTTGATTTAAAACGAATCTTGAGTTATTTCATTGCTTTAAGAACATTCTGATCTATTAACATTTTTAGAAATTTTAAAACGAGCATCAATATATGATTGAGATGCTTTTTAACGGAGTGGATTTCAAAACTGAATGTCTTAAATCTTTTCCAAAGGAATTAATTTTGTTTCAGTTATCTGTGTTGAATAACAAATCGTTCGCTAGGCCTTCTAATTTTCAAGATATGTTAGATTTCCATTAAGGATCACTGGACCTTTCGTGTCTGGTAACATTATATTAATTTAAGACAAGCCCAGTTTATTAATCAGTTACAGAAGGGAGACATTTGACACTCAGACAGTCGTGTCGTCCTGAATATAGCTGATACTTAATATTGTACAGCCATTCCCCTCGGTTTCTAATATCAAATAATTTAATTTAATATCTTGCGAGAAGTGGCATCACATTCTACGCTTTCACATGGAATTACACGGCTCTGCTTGATGCTATAGTCCTTTGTCAGTGTCTGTAATAGCTGAGTAGCTTGCACAAGTAATACCAGAAGCGAATGGTTACGGATGTCAGACAGTGCTATAGGGCTTCAAATCTCGCTTCCGTAAATGAACACGGATTTGGATAGGCATTGAAAATAGCCATACTTTATCGATATCAAAATTAGGTTTAAGGAAATGATTAGCTACTTTACTATTTTTTATTTTTCATCAGATTTATTAAATTTGTAGCATAAAAGGTAAATCTTGCAAAATTTCTTCAATTACTAATTCTTGTTCAAGAAAGAAAATGAATGATTCAGTGTTGTTTATTACACTGATTTACTCAGAGATAAAGTAGCTTGAATAAATTGAATAAATTCTAAATTAATTTTATGCAGCATTGCATATATACATATGCATATTCCTCTATGTATGTTTGAAAGGAGCTAGTTTCGTTTAACTAAATTGGTAATATGCTAGGAAGATTTAGTTTAAGTTAGTTGCAATTTATTTAACTTGTATAGAAGTATAATACAGCACAAAATTTTACAAAACAGATAATTCTATAGCACCAAATTATATAACGTAGATAAAATTGACTAAGCGTCAATAGCCATATCTGCGTAATCTCAAATCTATATCCTAATAACTCGTTAATAACATGGTAAACAAAAACTAAGTTAAAAGAGATTAAATAAAACGCACTTCGTATTTAGTATATTGCATATAGCAAAAATACCTGAGATGAAGAAATAAATCATTTGAGATAAAATATTGGATGAGAACGAATATTTAACACTTTAAATTTTTAAAGTAGAACGA